TTAAAGCTTGCTAACAGTACAAGAAGGAAACTAAACTTTGAAGAATTGCTGACATGATCAATTAAATATTTTACTTTTAAACTATGCCTTAGACAGAAAGGAAACACATCCTACACCCACAAAAAACCTGAAAGGAAAATTTAAAATTATTTGAGCATAACAAAAGTTTATTTCAACAAAATCAGACGATGTAGATGAGATGTGTTTATTCTCACCTCTAAATTTGTGACAATTAGGTTTCAGCAAATCTTTAGACTTGATACAAAACTAAATGGTAAGATGAAATGACTGAGTCAAAAAAGTTTAAAGCTTGCTAACAGTACAAGAAGGAAACTAAACTTTGAAGAATTGCTGACATGATCAATTAAATATTTTACTTTTAAACTATGCCTTAGACAGAAAGGAAACACATCCTACACCCACAAAAAACCTGAAAGGAAAATTTAAAATTATTTGAGCATAACAAAAGTTTATTTCAACAAAATCAGACGATGTAGATGAGATGTGTTTATTCTCACCTCTAAATTTGTGACAATTAGGTTTCAGCAAATCTGCCTTTTATGGTTAGAAAAACCAAGGTGATGCTTTGTGGGCTAATTATTTATTTTTATAGAAGTTTTAAAAAAAAAACAGATCTGGTATTTATGCTTTGCAGATTACACAACAGTGTTCTGACAGTGTAAAGCATGATGTAAAAACTAACAAAAATATGCGAATAACATATGCTGGCAATAAGAACCATGAAACATTTCATGGCATAAAGAACAGCGTCACAGAAGCTTGTCACTTGACTTGCGTTTGTCGCTGAGATTTATACCATTTATAGATTTATTTATGTGAGATTTATAGGAGAATTTGTAGGGCTCATAGTGGACCTTATATTAGTGGAAAAACAAAAACAAGGAACAGCATCTTCTCAAGGTTGTGAGAATACATTAAAAAAAGTGCCTAGAAATGGGTTGAAACAATGGCTTACACTTTCCTGTGACTGGAAATTCAATGACGAGCGAATATGTAAAATTTAACTATTGTTACAGGTGCTGTCACTCGAGGCACAGCAACCTTGAACACACACCTACACCCCCCACCCCCCAAAATATAGGGTGCCCAAGTCCATACCTGCCTGTTATTAGTTTATGACAATATATATTGTAGTATCCATGTGCAACAATAGTTACATTTTACACATTAACTTCTGCGTTCATCCGAAGATGTTTACAGCATGGCTGCGATATTTGCACATTTCGGCCAATACATCCGACTTTTGTGGGCATTTGTTGATAAAGCCTATCTAGTAGTTGTTAAAGACAAATTAAAAAAGGGAGAGCACAATCTCTAGATAATATGAGAAACTGTTTCCCCAACATTTCAAAATTCTGACAACATTAATATGACATACAAATATTTACATAATATCACTGAAAATACTGTTCAGATTATGTTATAGCGAAACAATTGCCTGGTGAAGAAGTATTTTATTGACTGCAATCATTTCTGTGTTTAATGCTTGAACTACTTTAATTCTTTAACTGTTTTAGTCTCACAAAGTTACAGAGCATATACCAGAGGGAGGATAACTATTATGAACAAAAATTCTCACTTGATTTGTCTTTTAAAAGGTTATTTTAACAGAGAGTCAATAAACTACAGTTGCTAGGTGCTTTGCGGCGTCCGACCTGTAATTCTAATGTACCCTGATCGAAACCCACTGCTGGCTGCGCGGATTTTTATCATGGTTTAGGTCCACCCAGCCTAAAACGAGTACCAGCATGGCTGGCCTTGGGAAGTAAGGATGGCTGGTATAATGCTGACCACATTACCCACCTAGTGCTGATTGGTCTGTAAAAATATGGAATGTTTTTCCCATATGCCCAATGTTCCTAAGGGCGTGAAAAAAGATTTTTACATTTTATTTTAACTAGATGCTTTTCTGCCATCCCAAATATCTAAGGTTCGAATCTGTATGTCCAAAACAGGTACCAGGAAATGTTAGGAAAGAAATGGCGTGACGTGATAATGACCACTTCCTTTCTTTGAGTGCTGAATGGTCTTGAAATAAGTGTCTGGCACTATATGCTTGACGTCGCGATGGCATGAAAGGGACGGACAGTTTCTGCCCATAGAGTTGCTACCTGAAACCCTGAAACTTCAGCACCTCAGCCACTCAGTTTCATTGTGGATGCCAACACTCCTGTGTTATGGGTTCTGGGGGAGGTGGTCCTAACTAACCCTCCCAACAAGCATGTTGCAGAAGGTTACTGATTAGGGTGTTTCCTTTAAAGTCAAAGTGCACCTCCCGAGAAGCAAGGAACCAATAGTCTGTACACTGATAAGCCATGTGATCTGTAAAACAGATGTGCACACAAAATAAATAAAGTTCTGGATCAAGACCAAAGTCCGATGAAGAACCAGAACATTTCGGCTTCAGAAGAAGGATGTGAACATACCCCTTCACTATAATAAAAAAAACAGTTACAGTTAAGTCCACTTAAGTCTAATTTAGGTTAAGACGACGTGACCAGCTTAGTCCCGGCAATTTTCCTTATTGTGTGTGCTGTCTGGATAAGTGGAAGCATTTTCTTGGGTCCCTGCGACTTCTACTTATCCATGCTCGACTGTATAATAAGGGCATCGGAACGGCTACATCAGGTACTATCCTGGTGTATCATCCTGCTATCCGGTGCAGCAAAGATTCGGGAATGAACATGGTCCTTTACTTTACTACAGATGAAGTAGAAACTAGGGTAGTCAGATTTTCTTTGTGTGCGTCGACCAAATGGGAAATGTAACTGACCATAACAAATGATGGCTTCCCCAGGCTGCTTCCAGGACTTCATGTTTAGGGAGAAACTGAACAGACAACAGATCAAATGGTTCAGGCATGTGTCAAGACTGCCCAAAGATAGTGAACCACAGAGAGCCCTGTCACTTAAAAAACAACATAAAGCAGAGATAAGCATTGCCCGCGCAAGTGATGGATAGCTGGAATATCTGAGTCCGTGAATATCATCAGCCTCCTTTACCCTGTGTGGGTTCTAGGGCCCCATTGTGGAGAACAAAAGAAGAGACCCACTGGCCCCTAACAAGCGTGACGTAGGAATTGACTAATTAGGAGGATGTTCCCTTCAGAGTCCATTTGCCTCAGAGGTGAGAAACCACCAGTCTGCATATAAATAAGCCGGATTTGTAAAAAGGACGTACATGCAAAACTCAAGACTAAAATCCAGAAGTGGATGAACTACCAGAACTTTCTGCTGGGATTTACAGCCAGTGAATGTAAAGAAGAAGAATGCCAGCATCTACACAGCACAAACTAAGGCTCACATCAGATCCCTTTTCAAAACTTGACACTGAAAAGCAGACCAGGACTACAGAAAATAAGAAGAAATAACAGGCCCACTGCTGTCAGGTATATTTTAAAAGTGTAATTGCCCTTCAGGAAAGCATTTCCAACATCAGTCCCTGTGTGGGGTCTGAGGTTATATTTTTTCCTGGTTGGAGGTCAAGGGAGGGGGGGGGGGGGGGGGGGGGGGGGGGGGGGGGGGCACACTGCATAAAAGGCGACTTACTAAAAATGTATTTTGGGCCTAAAGGTGCGGATATTGGAGCCTCGCTGTAAACAACAATAAACTGAGCAACCCACTCATCTAAGGGTCAATGAAAAATCAATATCAGTAACTCCCCCTGTGGGATTTCGGGGCCCCATTGTGGGGGGAAACAAGAACATACCCACTGCTTTCCCAACAAATATGTCTTAGGAGTCGACTACTTTGGGAGTTTCCTTCAAGGTGGAGTACATCTACCTGAGAAGCAAGGACAGTCTGCATACAAATGAGACAGATATGTAAAAACAATGTGTACGCAACACTCAGGTTCTGGAACAACTCTCAAGTCCAGAGGTGGATGAACAAGCAGAACTTTCCACACAAAAAAAGAATACCAGTAACTGGAAAATTCACTGTCACAAATGGTAACCAATTTAGTTTTTGGTGCATTTGCATGTGCTGGACCAGAAGGTGCAGATATCGCAGCCTAGCTGTATGCCACAGAACAACAAAAGGTCAATTGCTCTTCTAAGGAAGAAAAAGAAGACACACCAGTGACCTGAAAATTCAGTACTGGCAAGATATATAATCTTAGCTTCAGCAGTTATATAACGTGAAGCATACGATGAATCACTAACATAGCTATATATCACATCAGTGCTATTTACAATTGTTCCACCGATTGTCAACATAAAAAAATTACTGTCAAAATTAAAAGATCCTGACAACATCTGAATACTGCACTACATGTCTAACCAGATACAGGTGTTAGCAACAGCAAGCAAATCCAGCAGTGGTTGTAAATACTAACTGTACATCTATCAATACAAAAATAAAAATGACAACCAGTGTTACAAAATATATGTATGAATACACATACAAATATGCTGTCACTATAGTGCTTCACTACAAAGTATCACTACGTATACTGCCGCATACTACCTGATCCAAAAACTGAGCAGACTTAAAATAAAACAAACATTCAATTTCCAATGTTAAAAACCATGATCAGAAACTGACAAAAGTTAGTTGTTCAACATGAAACTCTTAGCAAAAGTATTTTAAAATCACTGAAATTGAGGCACACATTTTATCTTCTTCTGCGTTCACCCGAAGACGTAATTGCGTTGTGTCTGTTTACAGCATAACTGCGATACTTGCACATCCGACTTCTGCTGACATTTTTTGACCAGGTTAGCCTTCCCGGTGTCATTTTATCTGATATAGTTAGTCTTGATCAATAAAAACACAATTTCTCCGGACTGCAGGAATGCAAATCGCCAGAACAACCTTGCAAACATCAGGTTAATTTTATCAGTGCCATTTTAAATTTGTGACTTACAAGTGACACCTTATGGTGAGAGTTAATTTGGTAACAACTGTAACAATATTTTCATAATCACAGCTTCTGGCAGAGCCTGGTAGATAAATTTCACCAGGCAGCTCAGACACATATTAGCAATTCTCTGCATTATCCGATGACCCGCCTCCTGTCACCAGAACTAGATGACTGCCACCTGTCGAACAATCCAGAATTATTACGCTAAATTAAAAAGAAATATGGCTGAACAACAAATCTGTAAAGTAAAGAACCCTTCTCAAACCTTCAGCACAGGTGACTTATAGTTCTGGACCCATATGTTTTCTAGACCAATCGGCACTCTATGGGTAGGTCTGTAAAAACATACCAGTAAACACATTACCAGCCAACTTTACTTCCCAAGACATTCAGAATACCAGAACTTCCTTGATGCTCATTTCAACCTGAGAAACAAGGTCAATTAGAAAAATATCAGCCTGAATGCAGATTTAAACCCTAAACCTTTGGGTCAGTAGGCAAGCGTCTAGCCACTGTGCTACTAAAAAAATATATTTATTTATTTCTTTTAAATATCCAGAAACCATGAGTTGTTAACCCTTTGGCTCGGTACTATGGATATTGCATTCCTTCGGCCTTTATTCTATGATAAATACCGTAAATCAGGGAGAAATGTGGCTTTTCTGCCTACCCCTGGACCAGAAGGAGTTCGTCACCCGGTCACCACGCAGTCAGGTTTAACCAACTGAGCTAGCCAGCCAGGCAACAAAATATATATGTATATATTAATGTAGTTCCAAAATGCTTCCTAATATAAATTTTTGTGTGTATGCACAGTGCCCCACCCATCTAAAGATATTAAGTTTCTAAGATGTCAATATTCCATTCCAAACTTATGACAAGCTCATCTTCAAAGGAAGCATTAATGGTTTCTTCTTGATTGCTACATTGCTGGTTTGTGACCACCAACAATTTCTGACTGCAAGGACAACTGTGTGCCCTGCACATGTGCAAAGTTATCCAGTTATTATTGAGATACACTTTGCTCTGAATTGCTAGTGGAATGCTAATTCTCTAACCTTTATCATCATGTGATCTGCCTCTGTGTTGTGGGTTCCAGGGCCCCATGTGGGGGCAAAAAAAAAAGAGAGAATGTACCAACTGTCCTGTAACAAACATGTCATAAAAGTCCACTAATCAAACAAGAGTTGAACATAATTTACTGCCTGGTATAAGTCACTGTATCTCATCAGGTACTTGATACAGTAACAATAAAATAAATTAATGTCGTGCAATAAACTGTACAGTCTATTGTTTTTATCTTCTTTGTTCAAACTGTCAATTAACTAATTAATAAGCAAGTTTCATGAAGATCTGAGAAACAGTAAAGTGAAGAATTTCTAAATGATATCCACTTTACACATCTGGCTTATTTCTAAGCACATTGTTGGTTCCAAGTTTATCAGGCAGATGTACTCTAACTTTGAAGAAAATTGTCCTTAACAGTTGACTTTTACAACTAGGCGGTGAGTCTATTCTTAAACCCCCCAACCCCAGTTGGGCCCAGGAACCCACAGAGGAAATCAGGTTTCAAAGCTTACCAACATCAAGCATGGAGTCATCGCGAGAGCTGGCTCTTGTGGCAAAGTCTACATTCAGATCTAAGGGTGCCTCATCATCATCAAGTAAGGCATCTGAGTCATCATGTGTGTGGAGGATGTTGTACTGATGGAGATTCTGAAGTTTCCTGTAGGCAAACAACAGTGGATGGATATTGCTTTGTTTTAACAGCATTCATGTGTAGCAACAACCACATACATTAACACTAAATAATATTTTTTATACACAACAATATATAGTATCCGTCTGTATATATCAGCAATCCGTGTCTCTTTTTCCTCCTAAGTATTCTGGAAAGTCAAATCAGCCAGTGTGATATTTAAAGTTATCACCCACTGACAGTCAATCTGTCACTATAAAATAAAATTTTAAGGCTAGTTCAATGCACTCTACTTCTTAACCCTACCAGACCTGAACTGTCCTCTATACTTGGGCTCCTGAGAATTAAAGAGAAAAACACCAACTTGATATAGAAAAATGTTAGTTACATTCATACAAGTGGTTAGAATAAGATGGAACTTGAAGACAATATAGAAAACAGATCTCCTTTTCATCTAGCGCCAATATTCCACATTTGTGTGCCGATCCACCCAGCAGGATGAGCCTTGTTTCACACAGAGATACTTCTTGCAAAGTGAGCACCAGACGTTACTCTTCACCCTCTTGTATGGATTGTCTTTGTAAGACACTACAGGATTTTGCTTGTTGTACCTGAAGTGCTTTTCCCTGCACACAACACAGGCATGATGATGTCCCAGGGAAAATCTCCGGAAAATGATTGCCTGGGGTCATCTGTTGAGGGCAGGGTTCGTTTTGTGGGTGGCGGTCGGCTGATGTCATGTATCCACCAATAAGTTGCAGGCACAGTTCCTGAATATATCTGGTGAAATAAACTCTTCTTTTTTTTTAAAAATCAGTTGGTTCAATCCTCTCTGTGATAGATCTAGGAATGTTCACTTTTCCATCCTCAAATTCACATCAGTATTTGGCGATAAAAAATTCCGCCCCTAGATCTCCCCTATCAGCTGTTTGAGGGACACAAACTCCCTTTTCTTACTACTGTCTAGCTCTAGATCTATAAGGTTCAAGATTCTCCTATCACTCGAGCTCTTACTGTCTGTGTCAACTGAATTGGAAACGAATTCTTGATGAAATTCAGACTCCTCAGTGTCTGAAGCAACCAAAGTATCAATCACCTGTTAAGTGCCTGGTTCATCAGCCACTTGTTTCATTAGTGAATTTTTTGAATTTTTTCAAGCTAAACCACATAAACACATATGGGGGGGGAGGTGGGGGGGGGGGGGGGTGATGCATGTGGCAAAGTACCAAAAATTAGCTACAGATTCAGAAATTACCTATTCGGTACAGCAGTCTGGTAGGGTTAACGTTTATTGGCTGTAAACTCTGACAGAAAGTTCTGGTAGTTGGTCCAATTCTGGACTTTGTTCTTGTTGTAGGACTTGAATTTTGCAGGTAGAATTGTTAATACAGATCTGGCTTATTACTGCTGGTTCCTAGCCTCTGGACAGGTACACTCCAACTTCGAAGGAAACATCCCTAATTAGCAGTAGATCTCCCTCTGAACAGGAAAAGATCACTATCACAAGCCCTGTGTGAATCCTGTGTGGTGAAAGGTCACTGATAGGGCTTGGTGGGACTCCAAGGGTTAAAACAATTATGTTGTCTTCACAATACATTACACAACATGTTTGGGTACAATTCTTAAGTAAGAGCTAGCCTGATGAAAAACAAAACTATAATAAACAGGTTACTTACTTTCGGCAGTAAAGAAACGATACAAAGGAAACAATGACAACCAGAACCAGGACTGGAGCTGCGATGTAGACAGCCTTCATATTTGGGCCTGAGGACTGACCTGTGAATGGGACCATTTTATTTAATCACTGATAACATAACTGTCCTATAATCAACACAGCAGTTATTTCAGTTGTCTATAAACACTGCTCATGAATAGTGGTAACTAATATGCAATAAACTTCTGTGGTACATTCTTGACTTTACGATCTATACATGTATAAAGCGAATGTGAAAGATCTACTGAAACAGGAGAGGGAAGTAGAGTAAGAGGTAGGTAGACCAAGAACAATACTGAAATATAACATTAGAGAAACTAAAACAGCACAATGCATCTTTGGTCGAGACAGCTAGGAGAGCAAGAAACAGAAACATATATCTCCCTCAACATCAGAAACTGTAAGAAAGTGAATAGGAAGAAGAAGCAGCTGAGAGACTGAGCCATAGGGAATAAAGCCTGATGCAATAAAATAAATGCTCTCTTTCATCGTTAAGTCTGTAAAAAATGTATAAAATAGTTTTAAAAAACAAACTTACCAGTTCTGCATTTTACTGTGAAACATAATTATATTCTGCTTTCCCCATGTGGGTTCTGGGACTCCACGGGGGGGGGGGGGGGGGGGGGGGGGGGGGGGTTGGATAGACCTACTGCTTCCTAACAAGCATGTCATAAGTCAACTAATTAGGGACATTTCCTTCAAAGTTGGAATACAGTTGGAGGGGATGGACAAATGGTCTGCATACAAATAAGTCAGATCTGTAAAATGAATGTGCATGCAAAACTCAGGTTCTGGAACAAGATTTTACAGTCCAGAAGTGGACAAACCACCAGAACATTTCCACTAGAGTTTACAGCCAGTGAACATGTTCTGACACTCACAGTGGTAAGACAGGAAAGGAAGAAGAAGCTGGGGAGATTGAGCCATAGAGAACAAAACCTGATACAATGAAATAAATCCTTCCATTGTTAAATATTTTAGTTGATAATAATTACTTTCCATTTAACTAGTTTTGCTTTTCACTGTGAAACTGTTTGGCTAGAGACCCCTAAACATAAGTGTCACTTAATTCACGGTATTAAATAAAAATGATTAATTGCTGCACCAACTAAATAATGGATAAGGGAAATGAAACTGTCACAACAATCTATTCTTTTCTTTGAATTAAACATACACAACCTCTTTGTAAAGTTTTTCTGAAGAACAATAAATTTCTCACCCGTTTCTGAAAGCTTCTTGGCAGAAACAATTGAAATGATCTCTCCAGCTTCATAATTTTTTCCAAACAGATTCACCCCAAGAACACCTTTCTGCACTTGGCTTATCACCTTGTCTCTTATCTGTATAGACAGGAAAAATTGACAGGCTAACTTTAAAGGGAAAACATTTATTAAAGTTCTACAAATAACAAAATAAAAAACTAAGAAATACTATCAGGTTATAAGTGGTATTATCATATCTTAAATTTGTATAATGTCCAATTAATTTCCAAATGACTTTCCCATTTATTCTCACTGCTAAAGTAGCATATTACAATATATTATAGTATTAAATACTGTTGTTTAATACTCAAATCAGTCAGTTGCTGTCTCCACAGTCAAGGTTGGCTGTAATGGATCCCCAACTCGTTTCTTGGTTGTACATTTTCTTAAGACTGCTTTCGTTCATCTCTTGATTTTGTCTTCCCATTTGTATCACTGTCTACCTTTTGCTACATGCCTTTTGTCTTTTCCATCTGGTATTGTTTAAAAAAAAATGGGTTTACTAAGTTTCTCATTAATTCTGTCTTGAGGTCAGTGAAAATCAGATACAGCTTAAGTAAACAAGTACAATCAAGCATGAATGAATGAATGCAAGCTAGGCTTTGTCCAATCATTGTTAACAGCAAGGATAAAGTCATACTTACAGCAGCAACAGTTGCTTCTTTTGGGTCAGTGGATGGAAAAATAAAGAGGTGTGCAGTGGTTGGAGTGGTGCTCACGATGACTGCTTCCAGACGTTCAGTGCTTACACCCAAATCCTACAAAAGACCACACACACAAAAACCAGTAGGAATTTTAAATACAGCAGACTACTAAAGTGGTAAATAAAGTGTGCATTTTCATTTGAAATAGTTTGCTGCACATATTAATGCATTTAAAAAAAAACTTCAATTCTTCTTCTTCTTCTTGTGTTTACTTTCTGATTTACACTGAAAGACAAGTTCTTGTGATAAACTTGGCTGTTTTTAGGAGTTCCCTTTTAGTCCTATACAACTTTTAGTGCAGTGTTGACTCACTGGGTCAGTATTTCCTTCAAAATAGGCTCTACAATGGACATTCTTGCAGGACATGTTCTGCAGTTTGCACATACAACCCACAAGGCACAATGATGAAGTCTGTGCATGTGCATGTTAAGTCTGTTATGTCCTCTCCTAAGGCATAGAATGATGACCTGCTGTTCAAGTAAGTGTTAGTAATCTATGGCCAGATTCTTTTTCATTTTTGATAGACTGGATGGTCCTTTCCTTCTCATAGTATCTTACTGCATTCTACTCCTGTTCACTTTGAATAAATTACAAAAATACAATGGGGAAAATATGGGGGGGGGGGGGGGGGGGGGGTGGGACATGAATCTCAACACAATATCACTAAAGAAACAGAAAGAACAACATAGGAAGAACTGATCATATAAAAGTAAGATATATTAAGAAGAAGAAAAAACCGGAGCAAACTGTTCAAAATATGAAGCCTAAATTTCATTACTTCTGGTTGTGACACACTCCTCATAAATGCTGATGCCTGGGCACTTCTGCAGTGGCTTGCTCTCAAAAAGAACAAGTCACTGATGCCTGTGCAGCATTTAGGAGTCCAGATATGAATATATTTACTAACAATAGCACAGGTTGGTTTGGGGGGGGGGGGGGGGGGGGGGGGGGTTCTTGTGAACCAAATGGCTTTTTTAAAGCCAATTTAACGGCACATTTTCCCATAGCCTCAGTGCCAAAAGTCACAGGGTCACAGCATGAGTCACCCGATAGGTACTTTTTGACTTGGGGAATGTATTCTATGTTAGAATAGCAGTTGTATTCATATACATTTATAAATCCTAATAAATGTCACCATCTGTCACAACAGCATAAATGACTAGAACTGCAGCCTACAGACAACAAACATCCAAAAGACTCATACCTCAGCCAACTGCTGTTTGATTCTAAGTGTGAAGAGTTCCGCTAGCACAGCACTGATGCTGTACCTGTCAACATTACTGCTGAATGTCAGTAAGAGAATCTCTGCATCATCTGTTAGAGGCAATTTGGGAGAGGCAGATGTGTGAAGAAATAAAACAATAAGTCAATGGTTAAATGTCCACTTTGATGATATTATTTGTTAAATGTCCACTTTGATGATATTATTTGTTTTTTAATATCACTGTACATCACCATGTGGTCTCTGCATGATATGCCAAAATATTTTCTGAAACACCTCATTTCTAATGCTTGTATCTCCCTTTCAAGTTCAGTTGTTAGGTCCCCATTTCTCAGCCATTTAAATGTACTAATAGCTAGTGCTCGGAGCAATCAAATCTCAGTTTTGCATGAAATGGTTTTAGATTTCCATGTTTGCTGCCTGGCAAAGACTGATGTTGTCTGGGCAAATCCTAGACATGATTTCTGGTCTTGACCCCAGGTCACTTAAAACGGATTCTAAATATCTTAAATGAGTCGCTTGTTCTAATTTATTTGTGATCTTTAACGTAGATTAGTGATAGTCTTCCAGCTGGATTATTAGTCATTACTATTGTTTTTTCTCTGCGTTTATTTCCATGTCATACTTGGTTGATGTTGCATCAAGCAGTTTTACAAGCTCGACTAGCTCTTGTTCTTCTCCGGCCAACTCATCGATGTCATCTGCAGACCTAAAGTTTGTAATAGTTCAACCTCATATACTAACTGTTCCATGAAGTTGCTCTAGGGCGTCAGTCATAATTCTTTCTAAGAAGATGTTAAACAGTGTTGGGGAGAGGAGGCAGCCCTGATGGACTCTTACTGTTGTACGGAACCAGATTCCTATTTATCCGTTCAGCGTGACAACACTGCTGGCCTTGGCATAAAGCTGTTCTGTACTACTTATGAGGGTTTTACAGACTGGAGCAGACTGGAAACTGTATACGTGTGGGCACCTGAAGAGGAGTGGGCCCCGCCAGGGTTGAAATACTGCCCAATAAACACCATACTGTTGACAAATAGATCGGATACTACACCAGCTCAGTTGTCGCCCGGGTTACCAAAGCTGACAACCTTTTTTTGTCCAGGCAGCTGCATGATTGTCTCCCATGTATGCAGAACAGACAAATTCTGCTGGTTTATATCAACTTCATTTCAGGATAAACTCTATGGAGAAAATACCTTCAAGACTACTGCAGCATAAAAAAATTCCTAATGGCTGACATCCATAACTGTAAGGAGAAAAAATTCTTTATTCATTCTACCTCCATTCCCTCTGGTGTCATTTTCGTAAGCACTATCTGTCTTCATAGTCACATCTCTTCACACAGTAAGAACCCACTCTCACACCGCTTTCCAAAACCCCCCCCCCCCCCCAACAAGCAAATAAAAATAAACTATAATTATTATATCTGATGAAAGTTAATGACAATACACATTCACTGTAAAGATAAATTTTTTTTTTTTAAATTCCAGAAACTCATGTGTCATTAGGCCTGAATACTAACAAAACTTATAGTTTTTAAAATTTATCTTTGACACTGAATCATGTACATAATGTTTTTTGTAGATTTTAAAAAGGCACATGATAGTGTACTTAGAAACAGTTTATGGAATGCTATGAAGGACTTTGGAATGCCAAAGAAATTAATTATCATGATTAAACTATGTATGGAAGACACTTATAATAAAGTAACACATAAAGACACTTTTCAAATAAGATCTGGTTTAAAGCAAGGTGATGCTCTGTCCCCACTTCTTTTTAACTTCGCACTGCAGAAAATTATAAGGAAACTGAAACTAGATTGTACGTTAGGAGGAAAATTAACTAGAGTGTTAATAAAATTAGACTCTCTTAAAAGAAGCAGCTCACAAAATGGGACTAGTTATCAATCAAGATAAGACAGAATACATGATAATAACTAGACAGGGAAAGGATATAAACTCCGGCCACATTCAAGTCGATAACATTGAAATCAAACGAATGGAAACATATAACTTCTTGGCAAACTCCAACTGCTCGAAAATGCTCAGAGAAGAAATACAATATGTAATACAATTTAGAAATAAAGTATACCATGAGCTTTAACATTTGTCAAAGTCTCTATCTTGCAAAACCAAGATCAAAATATTTAAAATGTTGATAAGACCAGTCGTTTTTTATGGCTCTGAAACTTTGAGCACAACTAAAAGAGATGAAGCCTTACTACTATTTTTTTTTAAACAGAGTTTTACAGTGAATCTTTGGATCCATCAAAGATGCAGACAGCAGAGTGAAAGGCAACAACAAAATTCATTATCTGTTTAAATCACCACTGATCACTGGCATCATGAGATCTAACAGACTGAAATGGCTAGGACATATTGAGAGAATGTAAGATGACAGAGAGGTAAAGACTATATACAAAGGAGCTGAATGTTCGCAGACCACGAGGCAGATCAAGAAGACGAAAGAGAGATAATGTCCAGTCAAACCTTCAAACACTTCGTGTCACCAGCTGGAAAGAGAAGGCCAACAGGAGAGATGAGTGGAGGCAGGTGATATCTGCAGCAATAAACCTCAGAGCTCAGAATGCTGAAGAAGGCCAACAGGAGAGATGAGTGGAGGCAGGTGATATCTGCAGCAATAAACCTCAGAGCTCAGAATGCTGAAAAAAGAAGAAGATCTTTGACACTAATCCTATAACAGACATCAACCTAGAAATGTGAAGTGTCAGACCTTCAGATATAATGTTTGTGTGCTAGGGTAAGACACTCCCTGTGTGATCTATGAGTGGAAGCAGGAGCCCTAATGAAAATATCTTTGTGTAATGAAGCTGAACCTTGACCAGAACCATTTACTCAACTCTTTCAACACCATATTTTCTTTCTCGAAAAGGCAGCTGTACAAACTGTCCGGCAGGCCACTTTACCCATTAGGGATCAACCCTAGACATGAAGGGATAAGAAAACAGTAAAACAAATGAGAAACTACAGCTACACAACAATTAACAGAATACACATCACAGTCCTCACCAAATATGTGAATGAACTGCTCCTTGTAGATAGAAGATACAGAATTGACTGCCTCCACAGACATTCTGTACGTCCCAGCCTTGTTAAACACATGGGTCACACTGCTGTTCCAAGTTAACACTGGTAGCTGACCATCACTCTGGGGATTACGTGATTAAATGGATAGTTTAATTCCTTCATTAGAAGGTAGCCACAAAGCACATATTCTTCTTCTTTGAGTTCACTAGCTGTAAACTCCAGCAAAAAGTTCTAGTTGTTTGTCCATTTGCGGACTTTGGATTTGTTCCGGAACTTAAGTTTTGTGTGCATATAAATTTTACAGATCTGACTTATTTCGTGTGCAAACTGCTGGCTCCTCATCTTTCAGGCAGACACACTCTGACCTTGAAAGAAACACTCCTCAATTAGTTGCCTTTTATGACATCTTGTTAGGGGGAACAGTGATTTTGTTAATTAGGGGTATTTTATTTGAGGTCAAAGTGCCTCTGCCTTAGGGCAAGAAACCAACAGTCTGCTATTATATAAAAGTCACAACTGTAAAAAAGGATGTGCAAGTTAAACTAAAGGTTTGGAACAAGATTGAAGTCCAGAAGTGAATGAACAACCAGAACTTTCCGCAAGAGTTTACTGCTGGTGAACACAAAAAAGAAAAAGAAGAATTAATTGATATATATTTTTCCAGCAGCATTTTGTTAATGGGCACATAAACGTCTTTCCTGTAATAAGTGAACTTTTAAAACTGGGTACTAGTAAATGTCCTGGGAAGCAAAGGCAGCCAATGCGACACTTATTCTCATCTCCCGATAGGCGCCAATGATTTACAAAAATACAAGTGCAGAACCATATATCCAACACACCTCAAGGTGTGGAAACAAGTTACATATTTCCTATGTAATTTTTTATTTGTACCTAAAATACGTTTTTTTTTTTTTTTTATTAGGGACCTTTTTCTATGCCAATAGTGCATCATAGATACTAGGCAGCAGATAGCCCACTGGCCTAAGATTAGGGGGACAATATGTCCCATTTTCACAGGGACAGTCCTGTCGGGACTTAAAACAAAGTCAATTGTACCGTTTTATACAAATCTATGAAGGAAGAAATTATTGCAGAAAGGATAAGAGCTGAGCATCTGGGAAGAAACAGATTAAACACAAATGTCCAATACAACTTTGCATGCTATAATTGTGGAAGACTTTTCCTAACATGGGCAGATCCTGCTAGTCACACTCGCCAACACCATGAGCGGTGAGTTCCATGCCTCCTCATAGTACAATATAACACTTTTGTCTGAAAAGACGAAAAGGTGCCAATCATTCAAATCTAGGAATTAGCTTGAGAACAGAACACACACTTATATAGTGATTCCTGCAGACCTTATCAGAGTTAATACTTTTATATACTTTTGTTTCTAATAATAATAATTATTATTATTACTGATTCTATAATATTTTTGTGGTGTTGAGGATGGGGTGTGGTTAAACTCATTTGCTTGGGATGTCCCATTTTCAGCTCAAGATATTCCCCTGCACATCTGAGAACCATTACTGTAGCAGACAAAGTTCCCAGACACTCACTGATAAACATTCTATTACCGTACCCCGTCTCCAAAATTCCATACAAAGTGCAGATGGTCTGAGCTTGTGTCAATCACCCTGCTTGCAGAGGTTGGAATCACATTAAAAGTCACAGGCACACCAATCTTTCCAGCCAGTGGTGCTAACATAAACATGCTTACAAGAGGATCTGAGGAGGAAATGTAAGACACATCGTCAATCACCACTGCAATGTATTTATATAGGCATATGAGAGATAAGGGGTGAGAAAGAAAGAAAAGAGCAGGAAACATAAAAGTTAAATAAAGAGAGAGAAGAAAGTAGGCCGAAAGATATAAAGGAGATGCACAAGAAGAAGAGAATTTGAGAAAGACAAAAATCATGTTTAAAGTTTAGACAGTTTTTTTTTTTTAAAGCACATTTTCCTTGTTAAAACTGCAAATTTCTTCTTTCTCTTTGAGAAGTAAAAAGGATAAAAGAAATATACTAATATTACAGAAGTATAATACTTGTACTTTAACTATAACATTAATATGAATGTACAAAAGGGGAAAAAAAAAGATTTGTTTAAACTTTTTTGATAATGGAAAGGAAAAATGCACTTATTTACCAACCATTTAGAAAACTGTTTACCATTTTCATGTCATTACAATGAAAAATCTCAAATTTCATTTCAAATCAAAGTATTTAGTGCCGATATAAAGTCTCCAGACATGCTGCTCCTTCAGTGGAGATCAGTGACATGTTGACAAACTTTTTCATGAAAATATTATGTAGTAGTTTTCTCTGAACTCCAGTGTCCGTCCCTATGAGTGGTTTTTAACTGGTCATTGTAGGATAGATGCAGAGTTTATCATGACTTTAAGGAAATAGTCGTGCACTGAAATCTATAACAAAGAGATGCATGTTCTTTTGTGCCAAGCCAAGAGCATAATGGCATTGTTCATACTCTCCGGTTAGCAATTAATTCAAGATAATGCTCGCTCAGAGGATTTGATCATTTACACAGATGGTTCAGTGTCAAGAGGCAAAAGAAGTGCTTGGGGCTTCTTAGCAAAAGTTAACATACGACGTTTGGTGCAGGAGAGCCTAGCATATGATACCACAACATCCAGCTTAAGAATGGAGGTGGAGGCTGTCACTGCAGCTTTCTGCTGGCTAGAGAACACGACACACACACACACATCGTGATTGTAACTGACTCAGAAAGCATGCTGAAGAAGATCAAAACCGGTATGCTTTGTGCAGAGTGGCATGCTTCCACTGCGGAGGACACTGGTGAGGAGTATTGTCTGAATTTTTTTTACTCGGGAATGCCGGTGTGTTGGGAAATGAACAGGCGGACAGAGTGGCTGGCTCTGCAAAACTTGGTGGAATACTGAAACATGATAAGGCAGACGTGGTTAGTGCCTTGTGGGAGAGCGTGTACAATTTGGAGGAGCAGAGGTATTACCACATGTCTGGTGAGATTGATGCTGGGGGGAGTGACGAGAGGTTCTGGCAGATGCTTGAGGCTCACAGGAAAAGCAAGACGGACGTTTAATCAGAATGCTACTGGCACCATTAGTATCGGAACTCTTCGCTGGCTGCTGAAGATGGGAACGGAGCGCTTATGGGAATGCCCAGAGTGCTGTTATGTCGGTTCTTGAATCAAATCAAATAAAATCCGGTTAAAAAGGAAGAAGAATATATTTATAAACCACCAGCAGTGAGTTGACCATGCCAGTATCTAACTGCACCAAATGGCAATTAAAGTTCACACATTTGGAAGAAAACACTAAAACTCTATAAAAAACAAACAAGTGCATACATGTACACACACACACACACACATATATATATATATATATATATAACAACAGGAAAGTTGGATGAGAAGAGAGACAGGGAAGACTAAGGGAGAGGATGTTAGACAGCTTGGCATCATGTCCCACAGGAACATTAATATTGGAATAGAGCAACTGCTTCCCGGACAACATTGGCATACAAGGTGACTAATCAGGACCGTTTCCTTCAAAGTCAGAGTGCATCTGTCTAGGAGGCGAGAAACCAACAGTTTCCATATAAATAAGCCAGGGAAAAACCCTGCCATAGAGCTGTGAAAAGGCTCTAATTTATGATAGGAAACAACTAAAAAAAAATGTATGAAATATTAAGGCCAGTTTCCTTCCTCACTATGTTTTTTTCTTGCCAGATAAATCTTTAGAACCTCATTTACAAGGCAGTATCAGAAATGACCGACAACCCATACCAGAATACAGGACAGATTTGATCCAATGTGACACAGTACAAACTATAAGAAGATAAAGAGTTAACTTAGACCTGCATGTTAAGGAGAAGACAAATCCCATACTCTAATGTGGAACCTTTTATAAACACATCAACACATACCCTGCACATGGATCTCTGCTGAGGCAACTGCTTTTCCTTTCTTATTTTCCACAGTCACGTTAACAGTATAGTGTTTTGCAAATTTGAAGGTGTGTTTTTTAATGGAGGCATTCTGAAACCCGAGACTCTACTTCTGGCTGGTTGCTGTCTCCAAAGTTCCAGGTATATTTGCTGTCAAATTTGGATCCCTAATGAAACATTAACAAGAATGGATAATTTTTTTAAATTTATTTTATAGGTGAGACGTAGATGCATAACACATAATCTCAGAGCAGGATTAATACAAATAAATAAACAGCTCTTTAATTTCAACTAAAATGAAAACAATTGAATGATTTTCCAGGGCAGTTTGGAAAGAGAATCATTAATCATCATCATTATCCTGTAACATTGCATGTCATTGGGTGACCAGTTGCTGCTGACTGACTGATCAGCTCCCTCCTTCTTTGATGGTCAGATGTAATGGACTTTAAGGTTCCATGACTAAGGCCTGTCCAGTCAGTCAAGTTCTGTTTCCAGGTCTTTCTTGGTCTGCCTCTTCTTCTCTATGAGTCCTGTAGTATAGTTTTTTTTTAGAGGCAGTTAGATCTTATTTCCATCTTTTCACTGCAGTTGAAAGAGGTTCCTGGTTGCCCCAAAAAAAGAGAAAATGTACTTTTAATCTCAGACAACTTGCAGCTGTCAAGTGGGTTCCAGGGCCCCATTTTGGGGGACAGAAGAGAAAACCCATTGCTTCTCAACAAGTATGTTGTCATTGGCAACTAATTAAGGATTTGCTGAAATGTGAAATGTTGGGCCGAAAGGTGCAGATATCACAGCCTAGCTGTAAACCACAACACAACATGCTAACCATCAATCTAAGGGCAAATGCAGAAAAAGAAAAAGATGACAGAATACTTGGGTCCTGCAAACTCAAATAGTTATTTGTTGTCACCTCAGACAAAGCAACCTTGTAACTATTTAATAAAGAAACAAAAAATCATGTAGAGCAGCGGTTCTCAACCTGTGGCTTGCGACCCTTTTGGGGTTCAAATGACCCTTTCACATGGGGTCGTTTAACACCATCCAAAAACACATATTCACTGAAGTTATGAAGTAGCAACGAAAATAATTTTATGGCTGGGGGTCACAACAACATGAGGAATTGTATTAAAGGGTCAACGCATTAGGAAGGTTGAGAATCACTGATGCAGAGAATTCCCAATGTGAATTATTGGATCTAGTGTGGGGGGGGGGGGGAGAATGGGTGGGAAATAAACATACCAAATGCCCCTAAAAAGTATGTCATAAATGCTAAATAACTAGTAAAGTAAAAAAAAGTAAAGTTCCCTTTTCACGCCTTTCGGCGCATCGGGCATATGGGCAGAGCGAGGTTTGCTGAAAAAAAGATGTGTTGAGCCAAAAAGAAGTTGTTGGAGTTTGGAGGATTATTAGCAATATAACTGATGCAGATCCAAAAAAAAAGATCGAGATCCATGGAGAGAAATAACTGGACAACAAGTTCTTCTTCTAGGTTTACCCTTAAATTGGTGGTTGGCACACTGTGATGCAGTTCATAGCTGGGCTGTGACATCTTCACCTTCCAGCTCAACACAGCTGATTCCAACAAACTCCTAATTAGTCAACATGGCCCTAGAACCCACAACAGGGAGGATCAGGAGTGGGCCGATGGGTGCCAGAGTATTACTGGACACAATATTTCTGGAGTCACCAGCTCTGAGATTCCCCTACCAGCTCACTTTTGGCTGATACTGGTCATAATCTTACTTTGAGAAGAAAACGGCAATTCAATCTATCAGAAGTGAAGTGGCCAGAGATGACTACCACTTACTTGACCAGTATGGACAGGTCATCAGGACAGGACACAACAAACTAAACAAGCATATGCATATTCTTTGTCAAAGTAGTTCATCACTGTGTCCATGTAGGTTGTGTGTGCAAACTGCAGAACATGTCCGCAAGACTGTCCCTTGTACAGCCCATTAAGAAGGGAAAACTGGCCCAGTGAGTCAACACTGCACTCATAGTTGTAAGGAACTAATAGGGAACACTTCAAAGCAGTCAATTTTATCATAAGAACTTATCTGTTGGTGTAAATCAGAAAGCGATCACAAGAAGAAGAAGAAGGCTATTATCTCAGGCCCATGACATGGACAAGTGGCAGGTGTGCTGCAAGAGGATCCATAAAATCAGCACAGAGCCTGCTGGAGCCCAAGGTGAGGTCTGGGGTTTCACCTTATACATAGAATGACCTCAACCTTCCCTCATGCCTGTGTATAAAATCACTGCACCACACACAGATAGGAATTTGGATTCAGAACAATAATTTAAATCATAATTAAAATAATTATAACCAGGGTTTATTTCAATTCAAAAAGAAAAAAGATGCTTACACCAGCTTGTTCAAGATGAAAGGTAACCTCCTTTCCTGCTGGTAACTTTGATGACTGAACTATGATTGACAATTTTGATGGAGCAGCTGAGTGGCAGGGTGTTTCTACCTTGATGTACTTCTTCTGTTTCTGATCAGACTTACTTTCAACACAGAGGTCAGCAGGTATCTTTCTATATCTGTGAAGAGAGTTATCAAAAGACTTGATTGGCATTGAAACTCTTCTTCTTTATCTTCTTCTTTTGTCCTACTGTTTATACCATAATGTGTCGCAGAGAGAAGTCAGGTGTAGTTTTCTTTTCTTTTGGTGCTAGTTTCATAGTTTGTGTTAATGTCATATTGCGTTTCTGTAGTGTCTCTTTTACTCCCTCCCTCCTCCCATCTCTTTCTTGGCTTGCCTTTTGACTTGTATCTTGTTCTCATGTAGTACGCTTTAGCCGCTTGCTGATTTTGTTCCATTCTAGCCAGACGACTAAACTACCAGTGATTCTTTGAGGTTCTATGACATAATTTACCGGTACTGTGTGTACCATTGTTCTCAGTTCTTCAATGCTGACTCCGTCTCTTCTTGCTTCCCCCCGTCACATTTCTTATACATCTCATTTCACATGATGTAATTTTGTATTTATTTTAGCACTGGAATTAGTCTATTTAAAATTAAAAGACAAAGAAAGTGTATGAAGTGCTAGGACCTCAAATATTCCACCCACCCACCCACCCAAATAAAACTGTCTAATGGAAAGTAATCCACCCTAAAAATAAATGCGATAAGTAATAAATAAGGAAATACAGAAATTTAATGAGCTGAATAAATAGTTAATTCAACATACAAGATGAAAGTATAGTAAACCACAGTATATGCTCTCTAAAGCAATAAAGTAGCTGCTGTCACATGTATACACACACACACTATTTACTTCTTCTAATAGTCTATGTTGTGTGGTCATTAGAAGTGGTAAATTGGAATAGGGTGTAACAACCTTATCATAGGAAGTTCTACCTGGAAATGTAATGTTGTTATGGCAGGGCATATCAGGCCTTTAGAATTGCTAGCGTAGGAAAGAATCTTTATCAGAGCAGTGCATTTCTCATCAAGTACTTTTTGCATGATTTGTTCTAAATGTACTGGTGTTATATTTCCTTTAAAGTAAACAAGGCAGGCCAAGAGGGGTTATGCTGCATGGGCAGCACATGGTTTCTACAATACTACCCAGGTTCTGTGATATGAATCAAATACATGAGACTGTCAACAGTGGTCCTGAAATCTCATGCTCTAACTGTGGAGGACATTTCTGAATGTGAGCCAGTCTTGCTTGTCACACTCACCATTGCCTAGGGCTGTGATTCCAATGCTTCCCTACAGCCCAGTATAACACTATCTTCTGGACAGACAGAAATGTGCAAGTGTGGTAACAGGAAAGTTGGATGAGAAGAGAGACAGGGAAGACTAAGGGAGAGGATGTTAGACAGCTTGGCATCATGTCACACAGGAACATTAATATTGGAATAGAGCAACTGCTTCCCGGACAACATTGGCATACAAGGTGACTAATCAGGACTGTTTCCTTCAAAGTCAGAGTGCATCTGGCTAGGAGGCGAGAAACCAACAGTCTCCATATAAATAAGCCAGATCTGTAAAACAGATGTGCACATAACTCTAAACTGTAAAACAAATGTGCAAGCAAAACTCTTCAAGTTCTAGAACAAGACCAAGTCCAGAAATGGATGAACAACCTGGACTTTCTACCAGAGTTTACAAGCTGTGAATGCAGGAAAAAAGAAGCTTTACTTCTACGCATCAGAGCCTTCAAGAAGAAGAACAAGAAGTAATCAAATAATCAGTACAAACATACCCTTGGCTCTTGTTGTAAGTTCCACCACTGTCACATTCAGGGGGAGTGTATGCTTCATCAAACCAAGCAGCCTTCTGGCACCCATCTCCTTTCTCTTCATATCCAAAGTCACTACATGATTTTAAATATGCAGTATGTAAGCGAATCAAGAGAACAGATTTATGCTGTTACATGTATTATGTGTGGGGATCAGCCTGGCGAAGTGATCAAGCTGTTTGCTTCCCGCTCGGAAGGACATGAGTTCATTTCACGAAGTCGTCATTCAGTTCACAAATGCAATTTTTACGCAGCAGCTTGTCGGGGTGAAAGGGTTAAAAAGCAACTCATGTTATGTACAACTTACTGTGCTAATTTATTCAACCGCTGAACATTTTTTAAAGTGCATGTTAATAAATAAGTTTATGTATTTGGAAAGCATACTTCATAATGCAAACACGTATTTTTATTAATGTGACAATATACTAATTTAACAAGAAATTTAACAAGTGTTTTGTTTGGCAGTTTTAATAAATACTCTTCCTCAATAATCTTTCTTTCTTCTTCACTACATGCTGCTGTAGAATTTCTCTTGATGTTATCTTTCCACTTTCTTCTTCACCTACCTCATGCTCTACATCCTTTTTTTCTTTTGTCTCAATGCATTCTAAGTGCCAACAGCAGTTTATTTAGTGTCTTTGGATGTAATTTAGTATTGATTCTGTGCAAACTTGTTGACCATTGAGCAGGTCTAGCACTGGAAACATATGGTAGGGATGAATATGCTTTGAATTTCCAATAATAATTCTGTTTAACAAGGGATTTCTGGTTCAGCAAAAGTTCTATATATTGTAACAGCTGGGAAGATTAATGGAAAAAGAAGGAGAGGAAAGCACTGAGAGAAATTTCTGGACAGTCTTACATATCTCATGGAGTTGTACAGGTATTACATGCAGGAGAGAGCTAAACAAGTTCCAGTAGACCAAGAGGTGGAGAAAAGACACTGGCCTTGGATAGGACACATGCTGAGAAAACCTGAGAACACTATAACTAGAATGTCTTTGCACTGGAACCCACAAGGGTACAGAAATAAAGGAAGACACAAAAATACATGCAGAAGGGAGCTAGAGAGGGAAGTTAAAAAGATGGTGAGGGCTTGGGGAGAGCTGTATGGGATAGCTAAGGATAGAAACTCTTGGCATGAGCTGGTTAAGGGCCTTTGCTCCATTGGGGGTTAGAAAGAAAGAAAGAAGACAGGTATTAAATTTTGACATTATTTATTCACTTAAAATTATACACACATTAACAAAGAGAGAGAATAACATTACTAACCATTCATAATCTTCTGAAGTGCACTCACAAGTAGTATTCTGCACAATTCGTGTTATTGCAGCTTCTCCATTGTAGCATTTCACTCCAGGACTGCGACGTGTGTACACAACTACTTGTCCCAGGATGCATGTATTGTTCTACAGAATATATATATATATACATATATATATATATCTGTGTGTGTGTAGATATATATATATATATATAGGTATATGTGTGTGAATATATATATGTGTGTGTGTGTATATATATATTTAAACACATCACTCAATTAAATGTTGTTTTTGATGCAGAAGTGTATATCAGCTAGATGTGTTTATGTCGGGTCCTGGTCAGATATGACTGAATCACCATAGAAAAGTAGGCGGTATTACCTGCTCTATCATCATCATCATCATCATCAGTTCTCGTTATGCCTAGTGGCACTTGAAGCTTCAGAGAGGACTTTCCATGCTTTCCTGTCCTGTGCAATCTTCAGTGCAGTTTTCCATGTCAACATGTCAAAGATGCCATACTAAATGCTGGGCATGTTTACCAGAACTGACACCCCATATTATGATAACGGTCCCACACAGAGGAGTACATTGGGGAAGACACTAGCCTTATCCTAGGAAGAGGAACTGCAACCTGAAAACTTAATGTTATGGCAGGGCAGATCAGGCCCTTCAACTTACTTGGTAGCTGGTTTAAGAAGACAGCTCTGCCTGGATGGACAGGCAGAAAGATCACTGCTGTTCAGGTGCAACAGCTTCTGCAGCACATTTTGTTCCAGAGGCAATGGTGTTACCTTTCCTCTAAAGTAAATGAACCAGTCAAGGGAGGGATCAGGCTACATGGGGAGCATATGGCCCCTACAAAACTGCACACACTTTGTACTATGGAGAGATAGGAAGCACATCAGGTACGTAGTGTTCTGCTTTTACAGCTAGAATCTACACAAGTCACATACAAATGTATGTTCTATTGTACGGCTGTAATGCACATCAATTAGATGCATTTGGTGTTACCAGTTTTCACTGTAAGAAAATATGACACAAATAATGCTAGGTAAAACATTTCTGGTATGTTGGTAAATAGACATGATCCACTGTATTGCGAACAGTTTAAATTTCTGTCACAGTCCATGGCATGTTACTCTTAGGTCTGCCACTTTTATGCTAATATATCTACTTTGGGACAACTGACTCTGCATCTACTGAGAGAGCTATTCGTTTCTGAAAACACCTTATGTTGCTAAACCTTCATAAACCTTCAAGTAAAGCTGTCAAAAGAAAAATCTCCTAATGCAGCTTACCTGTTCTTTGTTTTAGAATAATTTTTTTTTCTCGTTACAATAAGTTTCATTTTCTCTGTTCGAAACATGACATCAAAACTGGTTGACTGCTTCTAAATCATGTCTGTAATAAGTTTCATTTTTGTTTCAGAACCTTTAAAGACACACAGATTACTCATTTCGACTGTCTGTTATATTTTTAACAATCTTTTTTCAGTGAGACTTATTGGCTTCAAAGAATATTCTTGGTTGTTTACTAATTAGCCAAAGATATATAGTCTTCTTCTTCTTCTTCACTTTCACTGGCTGTAAACTCCGGCAGAAAGTTATGGTAATTTGTCCACTTCTGGACATTTAGTCGTGTTCCAAAACTTGAGTTTTGGGTGTGCATCCATTTTACAGATCTGACTTATTTGTATGCAGACTGTTGGTTCATTCTCTCTCAGGCAGACACAATCCTTCGAAGGAAAGGACACATAGTCAAACTGGTTCTATGTCTAACCAGGCATCAAGCTCAAACATAACAGCGTAAATAAACTGATAACACATTTTTAACCACAGAATACATATATACCTACATTCTGATTATTATAGTCTCGTGGGTACCAGTTTTCATAATCGTTTTGTCCACATCTGACAGGCAGAGTCTTGGAGAAATTCAGCTTTATGACAGTCCAGGGCTTATATACTCCTTCGTGACCAAATACACTAGAAGAAAATTGCATCAACGGTTACATTTCAAATAGGTGTTGTCATTCAGTGCATGTACATATGTATGTTTGTATGCTTTCTTTAAATAGCAACTACTCTTACCTATCAAATAAATAACTAGGGGCTATTATAAAACAATTATTTTTGGCATGGACAATAAGAAGTGGTGATGTGTTACTAAAAATGTATACTGCATTTAGACACTAGAAAATTAGGTTAAAAAAAAAGCTGCCAGTTAAAAAAAAAAGCAGTTGCTATTTAAAAAAAAATCCAGCTTTTTGAAATGCCAAGAAATTATCTTTCTTATTTGGTGATACATGATGATACCATTTCCTTTTACAAATTTAACCCCGTTTTTACTTTAAAAATGTTGATAAAATGACCCTCTCAAATTGTTCTTAAAAAGAAAAGCATCATCTAAATTCTCTCAGATACTAAATTAAGACAAGATGAAGCAGAAGAAATTTAGAGTCGTGGGTCAGATTTTATAAAAATCCAGGGGGTGGAAACCTACGACTTCCGAGCATACAGGCAAGCCTGCTAGTGGGTGAGTCATCACAGCTAACAAGTCACTAATGAGATGGATTGTTCCTATTTAGAGTCAATATTTTGAGAAAGATATTTTTTAATATCAAGGGAAGTAATCACCAAATACAAAGTAAAGAAATAACTACTTTCCTTCACTCTGACCCAAAAAACAGGGGTGTTGTTGACACAACCACAGAGGGCAAAGTGAAGACATTATAAGTTTATTATGATGTCATAATGACCACACAGAATTTTTTCCCCCAGCCCAAATAATATCTCAAAATATTGGGATGGGGGGGGGGGGGGGGGGGGGGGGGGGGGAGCAAGTAAATATAATCATACCAAATATGTCTACACATTATGCAGTTGTAAACTGTACCAAAACTGTTAAACATGCATAATGGCTACTTACCTAACGATGTACGCCATCGCAACCCAAGAAAAGTCCAAAAAACCAGCTTTCCTGGAGCAACAGAGTTTATATTAAACTGTTTTCAGTTTACGTAATTTTATAACCTGTGGCAAAAAGTAATCCTTTCACTAAAACCATTTAAATGTCTCGCATAAGTTCTAACAAGTTTGTGAAAGTGACAAAGAATTGCCAGGTAAGACAAAAATATCTTGAAGATGAACAAACTAGTGTAAGACAGTGAATGCAAACAATGATTAAACTATGTAACAAAGTGGTGACAATGCAAAAATATCAATTCTAAATTTAAAAAACAACAATTTAAACAGTAAGGTGAAAGTGATTAAACAAATTTGAACCCAAGAAAATATTAGTCAGTATATTTAAAAGCCATAAATGGTTACATTAGAGGAAAACCTACAAATCAAGAGGTTACAGTAGCATTTACTTAATGAGAAAAGAAACTCCCTGAGAAAATATCATAATAATGTAACTAGTGTGTCCTTACAGTGGAAACCACAGATCAACAGAGAAAATGGAAGCTTAAAAGTACAAGGAGAAGATCTGTTAGAGACAGGGAATATTTACATGGGAAGGTCATGGAGTGAGCTGCAGGAGATGGCAACAGATGAGACGAGTCTGTGTGAGTTAGTTTTGGCTTCTACTCCAATAGGTATAAAGAGCTGATATAGAAGAGAAAACAAGATCAGCTGGAGGAAAAGAAAAAAAAAAAGAAAAAAAGCAGAAAGAGGAAGATAAGAAGAAGAAAAAGAAGAGGAGGAGCATCAGAAGAAAAAGCCAAAGAAGAAGATGAAGATGACAATGACACTGATGAAGATCATGAATTGTTACATAAATTTAGGTAAACTGTACTTTATACCTTGCAACCATTGTTCGGCTTCCAGGCTCTGTGAGAACTCCTTTGACAATAAGACCTGCAGAGTCAAAGTCTTGCTTCTGCCATTGTTTCCCCTCATCATAGGAATAGCTGGTTTTGACGCAATAAAACATTATAATAGGCTAAATACAAAACTGTCCTGAATCAAGAATGTTCAAGCATTACTAATACAGTAAAACTTTGAATAACCATCACTAGTTTACTGTCAGTTTCTGTTATCTTTCATCGTCATAAAACAAAACAAAATGTGTAAGTATCAACAAACTAAAACCTCCAAAAAAAAAAACAGAAGGAGATGATAGATTATTTCAAACTATATAGTTTAGGTTTATAGTATTAGAATACATTTCTGTACTAATCTTATACTGAATTTTATCTAGATCATTTTGTAAAATTAAATACAATATATATGTACTAATAATTTTTAAAGCATTCCCTCAGTCAAATCAAGTTTCTGTACACATTTATTATGAGATTTCTGTTATCCGACTATTCAGTTATCAGATACAGCCCTTCTCCTGACAGTGACAATTAATCAAAGTTTTTCTGTACTAAACTTTTAAACAAGATATATTAACCATCTTGCACCCCCAAAAGCTTAAAAAATAAGTCATGACCTAGTTGGAATTTTAGAAAAAAAATTATTAATTTTAAACAGGTCACTTATAAATCTGCTAAAGATCTGTTCATCTACATTTTTTTCCATTAAAAAAAAAAATACATAAAGATATATGAGGGAGTAATCAATAAACATAAACAGGGTGAAGAATTAAATGGGATACATTCCTTGCAGCTCCCCCAAAAACATGTTTTGAGTGACTCATGCCAATGGCCCTATAACCTCTATAATTTGAGCTTACGAGAAAATATGAGATAAACTTGGCTTTAAAAAAGTATTCAGCTATGAGTGAATTCAGCCAACAGCGTTAACTATGAGTCTCGTAAACAGGTCACTATAGATAAATCAGAAAATTGACATTTACAGGAAATTAGACCCAACCAGAAGTGTTGATTTTGCCAGGTATTTTCTTCTTCGTTTTCTTAGTATTGCTCAGCTGTAAACTTCAGCAGAAGTTCTGGTGTTCATTCACTTCCAGACTTTAGTCTTGTTCCAGAATCTGAGTTTTACTTGCAAATCTGTGTTACAGATTTGGCTTATTTAATTGCAGACAGCTGGTTTCTTGCCTCTCAGGCATATGACTTTAAAGGGACAATTCCTAATTTGCTGCCTCTTATGACATGCTTGTTAGAGGCACTGGATCTCCCCCCCCCCCCCCCCACTTCACCCGTTTCCCCAAATAGGGAGGGTACCAGAAGCCACACAGGGAGAAAGATATTTTGTAACTAATATATCACATTGTTGATGAGGAACAGGGGGAGAGAAGGATAAAAAGAAGAGAGATGAGGAAGAGAGGGTGAAGGAAGAATGGCAAGGAGGGAAAGACGGTGAAGGAAGAATGGAACAGAGATTGAAAAGGATGGATAGAAAAGGAAGGGGAAGGATGAAAAGGGGTGAAGGAGGGAGAGGGGAAGTGAAGGAGAGGGGAACTGAGGGAGAAAGAGAAAGGAAGGAAGGAAAAGGGAGCAGAAATGCACACTTTATCTCTGAAAATAAAATTTTTAAATTTCTTGGTAACTAATGATACCCACAATTAACAATGACATTGAGCACTGCAGATCCAAAAGTCTTGGGCTCAAATCCGAACGGAGCTGGACCTTACCTTGGCTTCCAGGTCGATGCAGCCTTAAACAGGTAAAGTCCTGGAAATTTATGGTTGACGGGGTGATATTGACCTTATCACACATAGTGCCGATGTCTATAAAATATAGGTCTAGCACCATATGCCCAGTACATCTGACGGTGTGGAAATGGGTCCTTTACTTGACTTACACTGACAATGTACTGCATGAAGCTGCCAAAGAAATCACATTAAACATAACACCAAAAACGTGCTGGTAGGCAGGTTGGTGATTTGCTGAAAAAATATAATTAAAAATTGTCACATTCAACCAGCATTCCCGAAGGGGGAGCTTTATGGGTTATAATTGTGACATGTTATGTGCGACAGTTAAAATGGTTTAGCACTGCACGTCATCAAGAGCCCTGAAAAGGACTCTTGCAGTGCTGATGCAATCAAAGAAGACAGATCCAAATACTGTCCCAAGGCAACAAAGTCGTCAACTGGCAAGCCAATGGACCACCCGGTCGCCGATGATTATGACAGTACTGGTCATGCTTCTGAATAAATCTCATCTGCAGACAAACTGTACTCATGAAAATCAAACGTCCAAGCAAAACTTACAAGACAGTTTTATTGCTGTACCCTGTCAGCAAACCATCAGGCACTGCTGTAAGAATGCCTCCCTGGTCCAGAAAGTTCAGCCTGTATCTGCCCACAAGTGGGGTTCCATCACTAGTAACAGCCTGGAAGTTAAAAGATAAGTAAGCTAAGCTAGCTGTGTATCCTTTACAGGACGTTGCAGAACCAACCCCGACATTCTTCGGCTGTTGTGGTTGTTCTAGGCAAGTTATCCCCAGTAGTTTGCCATTGCTTTCTGGACGGTCGGCTTCTTGATACCACTGTCGAAACCAACGCAAGGCCCACAGCTGGGATCAAACCCAGCACCCCAGCATTATGAAGCGCACTCGCAACGCTTAAGACACAGACGCCAACAAAAGATAAGCACAACAGAGTAATGTGTACGGCTCAATATAATGGAAATTATAGATAAATTTAGTGCCAGCAATGCCAGACTGTATCAGACATCATGCAAGACTAGCTGCATAAGTGTAAGTATGAGTGTCTATGTATTTATGAGTGTGAATGTATGTATAATAGGATGCAAGAGTGTGTGCACATGTATGAATGTGAGTATTGTGTGTGTGTGTGTGTCTGTGTTATGTATGCATGCATGTCTGGTAGGTATGTATACATGTGTGTGTACACATATGTATGCACATTTGTGGATGATAAGTAAGAATGAGTGTGTGTGCATACATATATGTGTGTGACATGTATGAATGAATCTGCTGTATATGTATAAATGTAGGTATACGTATGAGTGTGTTCATGATGTGTATTTATTTGTGTGTGTGTATGAATATATATATACATGGGTACATATTAGACATGCATGCCAAATTTGTGACCTTCCTTCGTTCATTCATTCATTCAGATACAATCTTACAAACATGTAGCTGTATGCAAAAAATGCCCCTCCAAGATGCTGGGACAGGGTTGAATTGTAGCATTCTGACTATAGCAGGTTGAGCACTCTGCTTCCCTGTGTGGGTTCTGGGGCCTCATTGCGGGGGAAAACAAGAACAGAGTCACTGCCTCCCCAACAAGCATATCATAGATGTCGACTAATCGGAAAGGAGGGGAAGGGTCTGTCAAAGCTGGAGTGCATCTGCCTGCTGAAAGGCAAGGAGCCAACAGTCTGCATAACGAACAACCCTGACTTTCCGTCAGAGTTTACAGCTGGTGAATGTAAAGGAGAAGCAGAGCACTGTGCTCAATTCTGGCCTGTGCTCTAGATTACAGCTTAGCAAGTAATTAAAACTCTTTTTTTCTGCATGGGAGTCATGTTGACACAGTAATGCTTGATGTCCAGTTGTGACGAAAACAGTGGTGACTGCAGATAACTCTTTCAGGTCCAAGCAGTTACTGCTTCAACTCCTCCTGTTCCAAGAAGTTAAGCTTAAAATCAATAAATACTTAAGCCCGATGTAGTTCAGCAGACACTTTAGGGCAGAAGTAGCTATTAACCAACAATTCAGATATGTTTATAGCATCACTTCAGTACAGCACCCTATGGGTATTTTCTCCAGGCCATGCCAGTGTTGGGAAATACACAGGTAGACTGGCTGGTTCTGCACCACGTGGTGGTGAACTGATGTACGACAAGCTTGATATTGTGAGGGCCCTTTGGGCGCTAGTGAACAGTGCGGGAGCACAGATAGATCATTACGACCTGAGGAGAATGGCGCTTAAATGATTTACCAGGGGATTTAGCCGATGCTCAACACTCAAGGGAAAGGCAACATGAGTATATAATCAGACAGTTACTCGTGCCATCGGAATTGGAACTGTTCACTTGCTGCTGAAGATGGGGATGGAGTGCCCCGAGTGCTATGATGTCGATTCTTTGTTTCAACATTTAACATTTTATTCAGATACCAAGGGTTACTATAAGAACTGTCTGTAATAGAAGAAAGAAAGAATATATTATCTTTGGAACGATCAAGGAACGCATGGTGAGTTGACTGGTACAGAAAGAGTTAGGCTAATACTGAGAAATTAATCCACTGAACTGTGACTTAGAAGCTTAATAAAGGGAGAAAGGGAAACCTCATACAAGAAAAATCAGAAATTTCAGCTGGACCATTTCTCAACATAAATCACAACAGCAACAAGGGGCAGAGTATCCCCAGGATATCCTCAGGATACTCTGCCCCTTGTTGTTGCTGCTGCTGCTGTTGATTGTATTTAAAAAGGCTCAGCCTGAAGCGTCAGATTTTTCTATATAAAGACATATAAAGAAAGTAATCAACAAACACAGACAGGGTGGAATATTAAACGGAATACATTCCCTGGGGCCTTAAAAAATAATATGTGTATTTGGTGACTCTTCTGGCACCCCATGACCTCACTCATTGAGAATAAATGAAAATTTGAGATCTTAAAAAAAAAAAACATTTTAGCTCAAAGGACCCCCCCCCCCCCCCCCCCCCTTCCCCCTCCCTTCCGCCTTTTTCTTTCTTCCCCCAAGCTAATTTTAGTTAATGGGATGTCCTGACCTTCTAAATATTTGCACATGTGGGAAAACAGCCAATAGCATTTACTATGTATCTTGTAAAAAAAGTCACTATAGACAATTCGGTAAAGTGACATTCATGGGAAACTGGGCCCAATCAGAAGTGTAAGTTTGCAGCTTCAGGACGAAAGGGTTAAAGCGCAGCTGGTATACTGTGTTGCTGTTTATGGTCAGGCTGCGATATCTGCACCTTTCAACTCAACACATTTGATTACAACAAGCCCCTACTTAGTCACCTCCTAAGACATGCTTGGAAGGAGGCAACAAGTCTATTCTGGGGTCCCATACTCACACATGGTGTGTGGTATCCAAAGTGACAACAGTATATAACGAAAGCTTTAAGATGCACTCACTTTCAGCCAGGTAGCTCCTCCATCACTGCTGGTAAACAGATTGGTGTCCCGAAAGTTAATCCCCACAATGCCGTGGGCTACAATAATTCCAGGAGCACTTTCTTGAGACATCATTGATGTGGTCAGAGCAGACTGTTTCACTTCAAGCAGGAGAGAACACTTCTCCTCCTGGGAAAAAAAAATAATGTCCTGCATTTAATAATCCCTTTATAAAATAACCCTATATAATAGAAAGGCACAATGGCAGGCATAAAATAATCCCTTTATACAAAGAAGAAGAAGAATATATTCATATGCAATCCACGCCATTGCATTTCTACCTCATACTCATATATTTTGTTATATGAACATAACATACCTTTTTGATAAAATACACTGGAAGTGTGAAAGATGAATGTCTGAAAAGTCAGAATATAAGGTGGGCTGCTTGCCTTATTTGTGACCCTTTAAAAATGAAGTTTTTTCATTTGTTCATTTAGACTCACTGAAATATGTGTTTGACAGGACACAAGACTGTCACTGAGGTATGTGTATGACTGGACACCAGACAGTCACTGAGCTATGTGTATGACTGGACACCAGACAGTCACTCAGCTATGTGTATGACTGGACACCAGACAGTCACTCAGCTATGTGTATGACTGGACACTAGACTGTCACTAAGAAATGTGTATAACTGGACACTAAACGTCACTGAGATATGTGTATGACTGGACACCAGACAGTCACTCAGCTATGTGTATGACTGGACACTAGACTCACTGAGATATGTGTATGACTGGACACTAAACGTCACTGAGATATGTGTATGACTGGACACTAGACTGTCACTGAGATATGTGTATGACTGGACACTAAACTGTCACTGAGATATGTGTATGACTGGACACTAGACTGTCACTGAGATATGTGTATGACTGGACACTAGACTGTCACTGAGATATGTGTATAACTGGACACTAGACTGTCACTGAGATATGTGTATGACTGGACACCAGACTGTCACTGAGATATGTGTATGACTGGACACTAGACTGTCACTGAGATATGTATATGACTGGACACTAGACTGTCACTGAGATATGTGTATAACTGGACACTAGACTGTCACTGAGATATGTGTATAACTGGACACTAGACTGTCACTGAGATATGTGTATAACTGGACACTAGACTGTCACTGAGATATGTGTATGACTGGACACTAGACTGTCACTGAGATATGTGTATGACTGGACACTAGACTGTCACTGAGATATGTGTATGACTGGACACTAGACTGTCACTGAGATATGTGTATAACTGGACACTAAACTGTCACTGAGATATGTGTATGACTGGACACTAAACTGTCACTGAGATATGTGTATGACTGGACACCAGACAGTCACTCAGCTATGTGTATGACTGGACACTAGACTGTCACTGAGATATGTGTATGACTGGACACTAAACTGTCACTGAGATATGTGTATGACTGGACACCAGACAGTCACTCAGCTATGTGTATGACTGGACACTAGACTGTCACTGAGATATGTGTATGACTGGACACTAGACTGTCACTGAGATATGTGTATGACTGGACACCAGACAGTCACTCAGCTATGTGTATGACTGGACACTAGACTGTCACTAAGAAATGTGTATAACTGGACACTAGACTGTCACTAAGAAATGTGTATGACTGGACACTAGACTGTCACTGAGATATGTGTATGACTGGCTTCAAAATAACCAAAATTTGCATCCCACAAGGGGATGATGAAGTTTATAGACTGGACAAAGGCTGACTGACTGACTTTTTACCCCACCAGGACATCACACAAGCGTTAAACACCCAAGTTCAAGGTGTCTCCTTCGTGCCAAAGAACTGCATGGCTGTTGGGTGAACAGTCGTTAACGAAGGCAGGCAGGTCATTGTAGGGGCGACGCCTGCTGGTGGATGTAATGTCCTAAGTCCCTTCCCCGCTAATAATGAGGGTACTGCTAGGGTGACAGTTTATTAACCATCATATAATGCCTCAGGTCAAAATGGACGCTAGGCACGGCCACTTTTTTTTTTGCCGAAGCAAATGTTTTTTTTTTTTTTTTCTGCCAGACGGTGGCCGTTGCATTTTTGCTCCATTTGTAGACTGGAAGGATATAGTTTCGTCGCCCAGCTTCTGAGTTGAGTGCATGGTGTGACACTTAGCTACGTGTGTTTTTCATTGGCACAGGAGCGGAGCAACTAGGGGGTGACCCGTTTGCTATGAAGCTGAAACTAGGATTACCAGATTACCAGTTAAACACTCGATGACACAATGTGCCACCATCTGGATGAGGATAACCGTGGAGAGGTCCCAGAAACCATGTTCAGGCATTAGGCCATATTTATGGCCGGGCTATATTGCGGCCCCCTAAAAGAGCCAGGGTGGGGCTTCAAATAATGAAAAATTGCATCCTGGACAAAAGTTATTACTGAGATATATGTCTGACTAAACATCTGACTGTCAATGTGGTACATTTCTGACCAATATTGAAAAATCAGTGAAAACATGTAAATAATGTTACTGTTTAAATTAGGATACCAAAAATGAAAAAAGAAAAAAAATCATTACCACAGTGCAACTTTTGTTTAATGTCAAGGGCTTCCAGTTTCCACCTTTATCAAATGAAATGTAGGTTTTCACTCCATTGGTCTCCCTTTTGTTGGCTAGGAATGTCCAGTTCATACTCTGAACCTTAAATGGAGAGAAAGAAAATATTAACACAGCAATTACCTCAAAACATAAACAGGCAGCTCCTAGAAGTAACACTTATCATAACAAAAACCAAGCCAGTCACAGTGAATGGAAAGCTCCTCCTCTTTATTATAAACTGCACACTCTGATGGGGTAGAGTAATGGAAGTAAAGGACTCATTCCATGCCATTAGAACACTGGACATATGGTACTAGACAGATAATTTTAAAGATGACTGGCCCCTGATGGGTGCTGCTGTCATCACCAATTTTGGCAACCTTTGCACTTTCCAGGACATTGCCCGGTACTCATTTTATGCTAGGTTAATATGGCAGCAAAGATCAATTATTGACAAACCTCACTTGATGAGGATTAGAACCCAAGATCTTATGGTTGCATCTAGACATTGACAGAGAGAGAGAGAGAGTCTGAGCATGAGTGTGTGTGTGTGCATCCATATGTGGTCTGCCTTATTCCTTTTGACCACTGAGTTTCAGCGCAAGGATGGATGCATCTTGGGCATATCATGGAAGGACCACTAACAAACAAACAAGTGCCTGAAAGGGCAAATATTACCAGTGTGCTCTCTTCTCAGGCAAAGATAGATGTCTTTGGTAGCTAGGCCATTCCAGAATTAAGGATGGACCTATTCCCAAAGATCCCCTTTATGGAGAACAAGCCACAGTGAAGATGCCAACAGGAAGAGCCTAAATGGGAGAGAGTTGCAGCAGACAGATATTGCTGGGGAAAAACAATGTGTGAAACTGACTGCTGTTCTTTGAGCACAATCTGATCCAACTGAGGACAAGGGGTGCAAGTATAAAATGCAGCCACTTGCTGCGGGACTTGCTTTATCCTAGTTATGCAGAAACTGTGACAGAGATTGTCCCTCTCACATTGGGTGCCTCCCTCCAAGTGACACAACTTTGAGTCTTGCACAAGTGAAAAGATGCCTACCTACTATAGGTAACTTGGTGTGGAGAAGACACTGGCAAAAATGAATGTCCAAGTGCCCGACACCAGATATTTTAAAGAACTTGCTTTTTCAAAATATTATTTACTTATGCAGGCAAATAAACAGCACAAAGAAAGTTTAGCTTAGCTAAGTTACACTAGCAAACAAACAGTATACCTCATGGAAGTCTATCTCAAAGTAGCCAAGCCTCAAGATGTGGTAAACATTGGTGAAACTGAGAACATAGTACTGTCCTGTCACCTCAGATAAGTACAAATTGACCATATCGCCATGGTTAACAGCAACAAACACTTGCCCATCATCAAGGTTCAGCAGCATGAAGTCCTTTGAAAGAAACCATTTGCAGACATTTACAAATCTAAGTAGTCCATACTGCAGAGCTATTTAACTGGCGGCTCGTGGCCAAAATCCAGCCCACAAAGATCTAGCAAGTGGCCCATGGATCATTGCCAATTTTCTTCTCTCTCTCCCTCCCCCCCCGTGTGTGTGTGTGTGTGTGCACGCCCGCGTGCGTGCCTGCGTACACGCGTGCCTGTGTGTGTGCGCGCATGCATGGGTTGAATAGCTCTGCCATAGGCAACCAAAGCTGTATGTTTAAAAATTGTATCTTCTTCTTGGCATGTTGTGTTGTGATGTTTATAGCTAAGCTACCCTACTTGTGTTTTTTCGACCCACCTCATCTAATTCCAGCATACTCCTAATCAATTGCCTTTTACAGCATGCTTGTTAAGGAACAATGGATATATTTTTCCCACCTATATGGGGCCTGAATTTCACATGTAGCAAATATTTTATCCTATTTAAATAATATTTTACACTGACTTCCTCATTATTCCGCAAGTCACTGCTTCTGTTTCTATTTGATTTCATACAGAATCCTGTACTTATATAGGTGTGATCTGAGGAAGATTGGTAAAAAGTAAAGTCTGCGGTTTCAGGATTATGAATGTAGTGTCTTAATTCTGACATTCCAGGGTAAATTCGGCAGCAGACAATTTGGCAGCAGACTGCTCTGTCTTAATTTCAACAATGAAGTTTGTTTCCGAAATCCTGTAATAAAGGATCAGAAACTAACTATCTTTATGATTAAATTCAAGAATAATAAATCTGGTTTATAATTCTGTTATATTTTTATTTAACTGAGACAGTAACAGAGATTAATTATACTGTGGTTCACTTGACATTATTGTCTGTATTACAATTCTATACAAATATGTGAACCAATAAAATTTCTTTGCTAAGTTCTTGTAATTTTGTATGCATTTTCTGTCTGTTATAAATAATAAACACGAACAAGATCAATGTACACACTGACTGTTAAATACTTACATCTGTTTTCAAATCACCAGGGAAGAAAGCTCTCTTAAATGGTTTTCTATTGTACGAGACCATCATATAGCTATCTGTGCCCAAGTAGGTGCTCTTCTATAAGTAAACAATAGTAGTAATATCAATATTATGTATGCTAAGACAGTAGATAATAAAAAAAAAAAAGTAAAGATCCTTTTACACGCCCTTAGGCGCATCGGGCATATGGGAAGAGCACCCATATTTTTACAGACCAATCGGCACTTGGTGGGTAATGTGGTCAGCATTACGCCGGCCGTCTTTACTTTCCCAGGACAGCCCATCCTGGTACCCATTTGAGGCTGGGTCGACCTGCGTTGGATTACGAGTCAGACTCGCAACGCCTTAGCCACGGACGCCGCAAGACAGTAGATTACTGCAGTTAAAAATAAAAATAGCATTTCAATTGCAGATTATTGCAAAGAATATTTTAATGGAATTTGTTAATTTAAAAATAAGTAATAACAAAACCATTGTGTCTCTATTTTAAAACATTTTTTATGTTACTATAATGTTACTACACAGCCTTTGTATATTTTGAAAGCATGTTACTTTACAAGAAATAGAGGAGAAAAGTCGCAAAGAAACAATATGTATGAAAAACAACATGTATGAAAACATACAATGAGTTCCTAAAAGCAAAGTCTAAACACAACATTAACTGCTCTGACACTGTATGGGCAAAAATACTAGAACTATCATGGGATCTCTACCTGCACAAAGATGTACTCCTTATGAACAGCAAGGCTGTCCGCCATGAATGGCCCGACTTGGTCAACGATAGCATTTTTGCAATCTGGCAAACTGCATACTTTATAGCTGGCTTGTGTTGGCACTTAAAACATATCAGGAAAAATAATATAACACTAGAAACAAAATTTGATAATGTAAAATATAATAGTTTCTTTCATTCATCCATTTTGATAGCCAAACTGAATACTTTATAGCTGGCATATATTGACACATAAAACACGTAACAGACAACTTTTGTTTAAAGTACAAAAGACATATGATAACATGTAAAGATAATATTGTCTTCCATTCATCAGTTTTTGAAGCCAAACTGGCCGGTACTGCACCTGCCTGGCAGGGTTCAACAAACTCAACATCACATCCATCAGTCTCATTTTCAGTCATTGACACTAGAGGGAGGACTGCGAGGTGCCCCAGTTCTCAGGTTCAGCTGTGACACCTTTCTGGTCTTTTTTTTTTTCATCCTGGCACATCTGACTTGAGCATCTTTTTCTTTTAGGATATACTACATAGTGGTCTGAAGTTCAGTCTTTACTGCTGGCAGACCTTTTCCCAAGACCCTCTTGATATTTACCCAGCCATTAAAAAAACAGCTGAAAGATATCTGTCAGGGAAGGAAAGAAAGGTTGAGTGGAAGGCTGCTAATCCCATTCCACAATATTGGGACCCAGTATATGTGAAAGCCTAAGATTTCACAACTCTGCTGCAGTATCTGCCATGAAATTACCTTGTGTGTCATTCTGGTATCATATGTATAGAGCATACAATTATCTTACCCGTACATCATATCGTGTATGAATCATAGTGAACAGTGACCACTTTTTTCAATGCTCAACTTTCCTGTAAGGACTCCAGGACCACATTGTGGGTGGGGGTGGGGAACAGACCAACAGCTCCCACCCCAACAAGCATGTTATAAAAGGCAACTAATCAGGGGTGTTTCCTTTGAAGTCAGAGTGCATCTGCCTGAGATGGAAGAAACCAATAGTCTGCATAAAATTAAGCTAGATCTGTAAAAAGGATGCGCAAGCAAAACTTAAATTCTGGAACAAGTCTTAAGTTCAGAAGTCGACGAAAAACCAAAACTGTGCGCCAGAGTTTACACCCAATGAAAAATAATAATAAGAACAAGACTGCCCAAATGAGTATGAAAAAAATTATCAAAGACATAAATGTGGCAGTACTCATTAATAAACAATTTCTAAGCATTACATGATATTCAGTGAATTGTATGAAGTGTTTGGTAAGTCTCTTACTTCCTGCTTCCACTTCCATGTGGACAGTATCAACATCTGAATCAACACCCTGCACACCCCTGTTATTGTCATAAGAAAACAAAAAAAAGTCACAGCAAAATGATAATAAGCACCCAGCATATAATGAAATCTCTCAAGATTTAAAATTGCACACCTGCTCTACCACACTTCTCCGCTGTTTTTACAATTTCATCTTTGAAGCAACTTGTAACTCAACATGCATATTTCAACCATAGGGCTAGGTTTATGGGTTTGTGCATACATTCACTACAGGTGTAACACTAAGGATGGATTGCTTACACTACGTCTCACCAATCTCTGTCTGGCTAAAGTTCTTATTCCATCATTCTAAAAAGGAAGGTGCACTGTGTCTGTTTACGATGACCTCTGCCATTTAAATTTATTATCCTGGTTTTCAGCCCAGTGTACTTAGGTTACCAGCTTGTCTTACTTTTTTCTTGTGATTATGTATTTAATTCAACTCTCTCTGTCCCACCCAAATATTATTAAGAAATACTGTGGGTAAGAAGTGGTTAAACTATGAACTAACATTATGAGTCCCATGCTGCCATGCCCTGAGCTACAACTTGGTAGCAGTGTGATGAGAAATGAAGAAGTTACTGAGTATAAAATAACAACACTGTGGGTCAGAAGTTTAATTACATTAGGTGATGAGTTAAATTAATAACACTGAGGGATCAGGAGTTACAATAATGCTATGAGACAAGAGTTGCTCTAATACATAGTGGGTCAGAAGAAGTGAGATTAACTATCTAGAGAAGAAGTGAGAATTACTATTTGGGTCTGCAGGAGAGAATGTAATAACTAGGACAGAAGCATACACAGTTGCTGGCAATTATCCCTCTTATCACATGATAGTGTTTCACTGTGAGAATCACAGCCAACATTGACACTAATTAAAGCCAAGGATGAAGTTTCCCCTCTCCACAGCCATAAAGACTGGATAGTTTTGTACCAAATATGTGTTACCCAATTATGAGAATAAGAAACAAAATTAAACCAGAAATCAGTGATGAACAATGTGGATTTGTAGAAGGAAAATGTACAAACAATGCCATATACATCCTAAGGACATTGTCAGAAAGAGCTATAGAAGTAAAGACTGATTTGTACTTATGCTTCATAGACTATACAAAAGCACTTGACTGTGTGAAGCACGAAGAAATAATCAAACTGTCAGAAAAATTAAACATTGATGGGAAAGATCTTTCGAATAATAAAGAATATGTATTGGCAGCAAACAGCAGCTATAAGAATTAACAACTGTTTAGGTACATTTCAGAGCATAAAGAGGGGCGTACGACAAGGATGTGTACTGTCGCCTGATTTGTTTTCAATATACAGTGAATATATAATGAGATCTTTGTTTGATATGCCCGGAGTTGTGGTTGGTGGGTTTATGTTATGCTGATGACACAGTGTTGGTAGCAACAAGTCAGAAAGAATTACGGGAAATGATAGACATTGTGGTGTTGGAGAGTGGAAGAATGGGCCTCGGTTTGAGTAGTGGGAAGACAGAAGTAGTGGTGGTGTCAAAGAAACAAATTATTCCTAGATGTGTAATAAAAGTCAATGGTGTTATTTTGGGACAGGTACAGAGGTTTGGGTATCTGAGCACGTGGATGGCATCGGATGGAGGATGCATGGCTGAAATGGGAAACAGAATTGGACAGGCAGAGACTGCATTTTATAAAATGAAAAACATCTTGTGCAATATATCCTTGTCATTGAGAGTTGGGAAGTGGATTCTTGCTTGCTACATACATCCAGTTTTAGCAAATGGCTGTGGATCCTGGGCAGTCGGTGGGCAGGCCAAACAATTTTTAGAGGCCTCAGAGATGTGGTTTTACAAAAGAATGCTTGGAGTGCCTTGGACAGCCAAAAGGAGCAACAAAGAGGTTTTGAAAGAGGCGGGTGCCCGAAGACAACTTGTCACAGACATCAGAAGGAGACAGACATAGTTTTTCGGCCATGTTATGAGAGGAGGGAAAATAGAACAGGTTGTGACCACTGGAAAGATCTGTGGACGAAGGGATAGAGGAAGACAACGAGAGAAGATGCTTGACAGTCTTGTTGCATGGCATGGAGGTGTATCGGCACACGAACTGATACGTGCTGCAGGAGATCGCAGATTATGGAGAGGCATGATCGCCCACGCCAGTCGGCAAGGAACCTGATGATGATGATGATGATGTGTTACCCATGCAGTATTATCCTTCTCTTTGCCTGCATTGTTTATTACAAAAGGTGGGCACATTTACAGTAAACTAGTAGCAAAAGGTCAAGTATATTTTGGTCAAATATAGCTTTGTACAGGACAATTTCATTAATTCTTTCTATATGTGTTGTTAAACTCTTTCACTCACAGAAGATCTTGTTGCAGTTTACCCGAGCAATAACAACAACAAAATCAAAAGTGTTACTTTCAAAGTCACTCTCTCAGAACAGCTTTCATTTCATCTGCAGCCAAGCCAAGCAGTATGGATCTCCTGCTTTTGATTTCCAATAGCGTTTATCAGTTCATGAGCTGCCACCTTTCCATGCCATGACAAAAGGCTGTCAATAATCATCTTTCATTGTCTACTGTTAGATCTCTTTCCATAAATCTCTCCAGCTATCGCAACAGTTGCAGTTTTTTCTTATCTTAAAATGCGGCAAAAAATTATCATCGCCTTTGTCTGTAATTTAATTTTATATACTTTAATTAACAATTTTGTCAATTGTATAAAAAAAAAAAAACCATAGTAATTAGTGAAATATTCTAATAACAATTAATGAAATACATATGTACCAACCAATAAAAATTAGGCAGAACATTTTCACTCAGGATGGTCCAGGTTTTAGCAAAATCAGTTGACACATACAACTGAAAAACATTTTATGTAAGTAAAAGATTAGGGTACACATATTAATTATTATCTTATATTTTCTACAATTTTCTTTTAAACTTAAACCAAGCTACTGGGTGGATTTTGTATATCATCATCATCATGATCCTGTTTTACTGTTCATACCTCCTATTGAGTTTGCAGCCGATTCCAAAATTCCACTACATCTCATTTAAGTCTTTCAATATTTTGTATGGAATTTAGTCTGGCATCAGTGACCTCTCTCAGCAAAACTTATCATGGGGTTTCTTTTAACTGTAATCGCTTCCTCGATCAATTGTTTCCAATTTCAGTACCTGTTCTGAGATTCTTTCTGTTTCTTTCAGAATGTGCCTAATATATCGCCAGCTTCTTTCCCTTATAACTGTTGATACTGGCGTTTGCTCAGACATTTCACTGACTTCTTTGCCTTTCTTCGGATTTTATAAAGCGTTCCTCTTCTTCAACCTTCCAAACCCCTGGTGTTCATTGCTACAGATATGCTGCAGATTTGAACTCATACTTTAATACCTCTTTCTGTTCTCATATCTTTATCATGTTGCTACCTAAGTAATCTAGAATATTTAACATGAAATTAAATGTGACTGAAACTGAAGTTATGTAGTTCAGTAGAATTCCTATCCACTACACATTTAAGTGAATGATACTTGTATGAAGCAATGAAATGAATTTAAATATCTAGGAAGTATATTCACATAGGACAGGAGAATAGATTGGGAAAATAGAAATAGGATGCCAAAGAGGTGGTGCACTTATTTACCAACTGACGCTGTTATTAAAACATCAAAACATAAGTATGACTGCCAAGAAACAGATTAAAAATAGCACATTTATACAAACACTGTGCTACCCAGACATTATCAAAGGATAAGCTACGTAAATTTAGCCAGTGTGAAATTAGATGCCAGAGGAAAGCCGCCAACTTGACCATCCAAGACAAAGTGAGAAATAATATATTAGGCAGATTATAGGAACAATACTGTGCACTTAATTCACTGAGAAACAGAAAAAAAAAATGGTTTGGTCATCTCATTAGAAAAGCCACAACAAGTGCCAACAAAGAGCTGCATATGAAGGATCTGATGTGAAAGCAAGAGGTAACTCCAAGAAAATATGGACTGATGATATTAAAGAGCTTCTACATCGACACAGAATGACAATAGCCATTGCTACCCATCAATAAATGGATTGCAAACTGCTCCACCCCATGCAGCTTAAAGGAAAAAAAGTTTACACTACCTAAATAAGTGTAGGACTCCACATCTTGCCCACTTGCTAAGTGAGTAATGGAAACATTATCTCTGGACTAAAGTTTACTGTGATTAACTTAAAAAATATTACATGTTTGGTTTGAGGTTTAAACAACGGATCAACATCATGGTACATGGGTAGTAACCCATAAGTGCTCTGTCCTTCTTCTAACTCAAGTCTGAGTCTGAAAAAGCTTAGCACAGTGCACAGGTTCTGTAGTACCGGCGAGGATCCTGAAATACTTTGGGTAGATTTTTAACTCCAAATTTTGCCCGGGCAGTGCCGTTAGACTCCTCTTTTCGTTTTCCAATCCCCAAGGGATTTTTTATGTGCGCAACAATGCACACGGGCATCGGATCTCACTACCCAGATGTCGCATGACAGCATCCACACATCTGCCACAGCAGGAAGGTCCATATAGCTGACCACCCTAAACTCGTCATCGTAACTATGTAATAGAATAGGCCAAGCATAGTTAGATAGTTCGTTTGTTGTGGGGGAGTCCTGATAGGAAAAATCCATATAAAACCCTTTGATAATGACTCTTTTAGGCTTTGAGTGTCGAATTAAATGTTAGGACGCCTTTTCTACACCTATTCTAAATAAATTGTCTGACCACTGCACTGCATTAGTGAGCGCGATTCGTACGCTAACTGCTGTTATTAGGGGACGTGTTTGTGTGCATCACTCTCTACGGTCCGGTCTTGGAGGCAGGCGTTTTTCCTTGTGTCTCGCCAATTGACCGTTATACAGACAAGATTCCTTGTTCTCTTTTTTATTTACAATGGGTGAGTTTTCTTAAGGACTTTGTAATTGAATATTTGAGTTCATAGTGTCTGTGATTTAGGTAAGTAAGGTCAGCAGCTGGATAATGCGAATCTGTTTTCCTACGATTCTTGCCAAGGAAGGTGGCGAAAGGAGCTCCAGATCGGAATGCACTTTCGGTTGACATTTCTCGCAGAATGCTTTGAAATGGCCTTTTAAACCTTTTCAATTCAATCAATCTACATATCTGGAGTGGGTTTGTAGTATTGATAACTTTGTATCGTTAATTATTTGCTAGTATTCGGTATCAGAACTTGGTAAGTCGCTGAAGGGTTTTGAACGACAAGAAGCTTATGGGCAGACATGACGTCATGTCCGCTGTTGCTAGGTGATTTCGTAACCACAACAAGCTTCGACTGTCGAATTGTTTTCATAACATATTTCAGTAGGTCTTGGTTTTGACTTCATCGCCGATCCCTTATTTTCTAGGTTAGAAGGAACGGTAAATAATGGGGATCTGTCTAACCTTTGCCACAGAACTGAATCCCGGAACTCTTCGAGTTAATGATCTAGTGCTCACTCTAGGAAACAAAGAGGATTCTAGGATTGAGGTAACCAACCTTCATGGTTTGGAATAACCTAAAATATATCTGAGCATTTGGAGGAAGTAAGGACCTTGATTAAATAGGTACGTTGAGTATGGTTCGCTCATGTCTGTTACTTTACGTTTTTCAGGATTTTCTGAAGATCCAACAAGTGTCTACGTTTGATAGTGTGGTTCCAACTGCCACGACCCAGTAAACGTTTTACGTATGCTGAATTACGGTGTTGAATGTGCGGACGACACGGGTGCCGGAGTCCCTCAATAGTGACTTGAGTTTCCTGGATCCGCACCTGAAGCTGATTCGTTCCGGTGAAGTGATGCGACAGTCCTTGATTAATACTAGAAGCTGATTCGTTCATGTGTGGTTGTACTGGGAAGTACGGCAGAGAGAGTTTCCTTTTTGGCATCCGGAGAAGCTGATTCATACCTGTGTAACCGTGCAGTAAAGTACGGTGGCGTATTACTCCACTCTGAGACGCTGAGGAGCTACGAGATCTGATCAGATAAGTGACGTGGCAGACTAAGATAACTCGTCTCCAAATGTGCCTTCATGGTCATGTTTTCTCCTTCGCCGTGATGAACATGATAGTGTATAGGTCTATTTA